AATTGATTTTATTAAAGAATTTCTTTTATTTTAATGTCACTAAAATAAATGTAAATCACTTAGATACCATAAAAGGAATTTTGAAATAAAAACAAGAGTGTTACCACTAACTTTCCTTAACTAATGAAATATTTTACATCTAGTCCTTGGATTTTAGCTGTAGCCTGTGTAGTTCTGTTTGCTACTTCTAATAGTAAAAATTTTTAAAAGACTTTAAATAATCAACTCAAACTGTGTTAGTCTTTTTCTGTTCAGTTGATCAACCTGCCTTAGTCATCTCTGACTCAGTCCAACCACAGTCATTGATTTTTGTTAGTTTATATCCCTTCCCCTTGTTCTGTGGCCTAGCCACTACCATTTTAAGAGTTCATATTCTAGGTACTTTGATCTGAAATGATTATTTACTTTATATGTTCTAACTTCTTCCATTACTCAAGGTAGGAAGTAAAGCACAGTGCTAGGGCCAAAAATAAGCCTCGCTGTTCAGAGAATATGTTTACATTCCATATTGCTCTTTATTTTCCTTTTTCTAACGACTTACTTACTTTGGAGAGAGAGCAATCAAGCAAGCGGTGGGGAGGGGCAGAAGGAGAGGAAATCCCAAGCGGGCTCTGCACTGACCACAGAGCCCTATCTCACCACAGGGGGCTCCATCCTCAGGACCCTGAGATCAGGACCTGAGGTCAAACCAAGAATTGGACACTTAACCGACTGCGCCACCTAAGCACCCCCCCCCATTTTGCTCTTAGAACAAATTCATATTGTTAGCTGTGAGGTATAGCTTGATCCCAGAGCATAGAGCACTGCTGTTCTTTTCAAAGTAAATGCTTTATTCCATGTGTGTCCTTTGCCCAGGTGGATTGAGAGATAATTTCCCTTAAGTTATGTGAGATCTGGCTTTCCAGTAACTGAACTTTTCCCTGATGTTTTCAGATAAGTGATGACAGGATTTCTGAATTTTAACTTTATGAATGTTGAAGTTCTTTGGTACTAAGAGTAAAAATTATTACAGCTGTAGTACAATGACTTCTTTCAGCATTGTTCTTGTATTTGTGAGTTGCTATATTTTGTGCCTTATGGGTTGATTTCTCCTTATATGGTTGGCATATTAGAACTACAGTGTGGTACCTGGCCATCACTCACCATGGAGCCTCAACCTCTGTTTTTCTGAGTGATGCCCAGTACAGGGCTGTGTCACTCACAGTCACACACAGCCAGGGCATTTAATACTTATGCTTCTTTACATGTCATGCAAGATCTTGTGTGTCTTTTAGCCACCTCCTCCTCCTGACATCAGTTATGTAATGGTACCACTCTTGTTCAAAATCCAAGTAATTTTTGCATTTTCCTTTACCCTTTTATCCAGCCAGTCATCAAGCTTGGTGATATAACTCATGGATTCTAATAAGCACAAGTAATTTTTTTCCTAGTCTTACTGTTCCCACTCTGGGTCATGGAAGAACACTCCCTGTTATCTTCCCCCAACTCCAGTCCATCTATATCCACTGGTAGGTAGGTGAATTTCCTTAAGACCAACTGCTGTGTTCATATCTTGACCTCAGTTAGAAACCTTTTAATGGCAACTGTGTACATGAATGCACACACACACTCACTCACACACACACACGCAGAAATACCCTCATGCCTCTCATTGGAGGCTGGATGAAGCCCCAGTTTTTTATCCCAGTATTCAGGGTCTTCCACCTTGACTCTTAGTTTTTTAGCCTCATCTCCTATTGCCTTCCTCAACAGTCTGCTTGTATAGTCCTGGCCATCCTAGAACTTGATTGGGACTTTTTTTTTTTTTTTTGGCCTCAGACCATATAAGTCCCTCAGGACCCTTAGGTGATCTCTCCTGCCTCTGAACATCTCCCATACTTTATTTTACTTTATTTCTCTTTATATTGCCTAAGTAGTGCTTTGCAATTGACCAAAGTGCTTTTGAATCCATTACTTTATTTAAATTTCACAACCTGTGTGTGAGGGAAGTAAGACAGGTGGGTCTTAACACAAGGCAGGAAGCTAATGCTTGAGGAGGGAAGAGTGACTTGTCCAGTTTTGCAGTTCATAGAGTGGGGCTAATGCTCAAATCCAAGCCTCCTAGAAGTTAGCTCCAGCCTTTGTTTATTATGCTGCTACTACCTACCTTTCTTGGTGTCTGAGTTTGCCCATAAGTGTACATTTGATTATCTCTTTCCAGTTGTCTGCAAGTTATTTGAAGTTGTGTTTTATTCCCTTGGAACATATATGTATATATGAGTGAGCCCATTCATATATTAAATACGTTGCAATTCAGTGTTCTCTTTCTCTGTAAAAAATCATTCTTCTGCTTTCTGAGCCTTGTTTCCCCTTTGTGTGTGTGTTTGTGTAAGTAGAAGTAAGCTTACTTATTATAATAAACTAGAGCTTTATATAATGAATTTAATTTCTGGGATAACTTTTCAGCAGTGCATTCCACATCCACAAGTATGCATTGCCTGTGAAGAGGTTAAGCCTAATGCTAGGCTACTGTGAAGTGATTTCACACTTTACAAGTGTTCTGAAATTTCATCTAACTGTACCTATAATTTTATATATTGACTGGATGAGAACATGTATACCAACAAAAGCTGATATGAATTCAGCAACGGTTTTAATAGATTCAAATTTTATTCATTCTATCATCAACATTTTTAAAAAGATTTTATTTATTTATTTGCGTGGGGGAGGAGAGCACAGAGGGAGAGAAGCAGACTCCCTGTTGATCAGAGAGCCCGATGTGGGGCTCAGTCCCACGACCCTGAGATCATGGCCTGAACTGAAGGCAGACGCTTAACCAACTGAGCCACCCAGGTGCCCTTATCAACATATATTTAAAAAATAATAGTACATACATATAGAACACATGTAGTATTCACTATAGGAAATGCTTGGTGCCCCTAGTGCTTAAAATCTTGGTAACTTCATGGTTCCTAGTTGGGAGTCACTACTAAATGGATTTTGGCTTTATCCTACATCACTCATTGTTGCCTTAGGAAGCTTCTTGTGAGAAATGTCCTACAGTGCCAAACGGTAGGAAAAGCATTGCTTCCCTGAGTAATTGCTTTGTTTTCCTTTTAGACAGTGGGAAGGGTGCTTGGCTGCCTCAGTGGTTAGAACATGTGACTCTTGATCTCCAGGTTGTAGTTTAAGCCCCATGTTGGGAGTAGAGTTTAATTTAAAGAAGCAAAAGAGGGACACCTGGATGGCTCAGTCGGTTAAGCTGCTGCCTTCCGCTCAGGTCATGATCCCAGCATCCTGGGATGGAGTCCCGCATCAGGCTGTTTGCTCAGCAGGGAGCCTGCTTCTCTCCGCCCCTGTCTGCCACTCTGCCTGCTTGTGCATTCACTCTCTCTCTCTCTCTCTCTCTCTCTGACAAATAAATAAATAAATAAATAAAATCTTTTAAAAACGAAAAAGAAAAAGATGTAGAAGGTGGGACCTATGCAGCTGACTTCCCATTTTCAAACTGGCCTTTAAGAAGCTTAGAGCCAAAAACATCACTCAGTCATACAGCTGTATAGATCCTTAGGGCCAGCTTAAGTTTTCCGTTTTATACTTTGATAGTGACTTCTGTTGTAGTTTTCTTGGTCTTGATTTTTTTCATTTATATTTTATCATCTTATTGCTTGTGTTTCTCAAAAGGCAACTAAAACTCTGTGAAAATGAACGAACACTCTAGCCCTTCTGTGACCAGCTATATCTTAGGTCCTGGGTATATCTATTCTAAGTACTGATACCTATTTGCATAGGTCTTGCTCTATATGCTGCATGTGAAACATGCTTAGAAGTCACAATTTATTTTTTTTTAAATTTTATTTATTTATTTGACAGACAGAGATCACAAGTAGGCAGAGGCAGGCAGAGAGAGAGGAGGAAGCAGGCTCCTGGCCAAGCAGAGAGCCCGATGCGGGGCTCGATCCCAGGACCCTGGGATCATGACCCGAGCCAAAGGCAGAGGCTTTAACCCACTGAGCCACCCAGGCGCCCCAGAAGTCACAATTTATATAGAAAAGCCAAACCTAAGCATGCTATTTATTAGAAAAATGTAGTTTCATTTAATATTAATCACTTTCCTAAACTTCTTACACTGTCTGCTTAACCATATGTCAAAAAGTGGAGTGTCTCTTGTGGAAGCAAAGCCTTGTTGTTGATAATAACATGCCTCTCCTAACAGGTATGAGATCACTTCAGGCAGGGGTAATTTAAAAAATTCACACACAGAACTGGGAGGGCAGCTTTTTTCCCCCCACTGTTTATCCTTTTGAGTTTTGTACCATGTGCGTATATCACCTATTCAAAAAAATTTATCAAAGAAGTTCACAGTCATTTTCAGTAGAAGTGTAAAAAATTTTTCTCCAGCCTATTAGACCATGAGCTCCTTGAGACCAGGAAATGTGCTAGATTTCTCTATTTCTGAACCTAGTGCAATGCTTTATACATAGTAAGCCCCCAACTGGTGTGCATTAGATGTAAATTGGAAGTCAAGAGTTAAGATTTCAATAGGATCATGGCTAAAAATTGTTAACTGTGGATGTGCCTCTTTAACTCTGCTACCTTTTTAGAGTGTAGCTGAGTGCAGCTTCCTTGCTGTGAAATAAGATTCTTTTTTTATTGAAATTCATTAAAAGAACTTAAAAATGGGGCGCCTGGGTTTCTCATTCGGTTAAGCGTCTGCCTTCGGCTCAGGTCATGATCCCAGGGTCCTGGGATTGAGTCCCCCATTGGGCTCCCTGATCCACAGGAAGCCTGCTTCTCCCTCTCCCACTCCCCCTGCTTGTGTTCCCTCTCTTGCTGTCTGTGTGTGTGTGTGTGTGTGTGTGTGTGAGAGAGAGAGAGAGAGAGAGAGAGAGAGAGAAATAAATAAATCTTTTTGAAAAAACCGACGACTTAGTAGAATTTTTCCCAGTCACGGTTTAATTATTACAGTGTGGGATTTTTCCATATGTGACCTCCAAACTACTTTTCATCTCTTTTTGCAGATCTTTGTGGAATTTGATGGCTGTAACTGGAAGCAACACTCCTGGGTTAAAGTTCATGCTGAAGAAGTTATTGTGCTTCTGCTGGAAGGATCTCTGGTATGGGCACCCCGGAAGGACCCGGTCCTTGTCCAGGGTACTCGAGTCTCAATCGCACAGTGGCCAGCCCTGGTGAGTGACTTACCAGCTTGGAACATATTTGGGCTTTACTCCTAAGATTTTATTTGTAACTGTAACTATGGTATTTATCCAATAGCTGAACTCTTTAGAATTCCCAAAACTCCAGGCTTATCCCTAACATACTTTTATTCTGAAGTTACTAAAGCAAAACTGGGAGATCTTTTCTCCTTTCTCTTCTGAAACTTACTTTGTTTTATTGAAGTATAATTAACATACAGTGTTTATATTAGTTTTAGCTGCACAATATAATGATTCACCATTTCTGCATATTACTCAGTACTCATCATACTCATCATACTCATGATAAGTATACTCTGAATCCTCTTTATTTTACCCCTGCCCCCGACCTCCCTCCCCTCTGGCAACCACCAATTTGTTCTCTGTATTAAAGAGTCTGGGTTTTTTGTCTTTTTTTCTTTGTTCGTTCATTTTGTTTCTTAAATTCCACATATGTGTGAAATCATATGGTATTTGCTTTTCTTTGACTTGTTTCACTTAGCATTATACCCACTGAGTCCATTCATGCTGTCGCAAATGACAAGATCTCGTTCTTTTTTATGGATGAGTAATACTCCATTTTATGTCTGTGTGTGTTCTTAATCATTTATCTGTGGATGGACATTTAGATTGCTTCTATATCTTGCCTATTGTAAGTGACACTGCAAGAACCATAGGAGTGCCTATATCTTTTCAAATTAGTATTTATGTTTTCTCTGGTTAAATGCATAGTAGTGGAATTAATGGATCATCTGGTGATTGTATTTTTAATTTTTTGAGGACCTTCCAAACTGTTTCCCACAGTAGCTGTACCAATTTACATTCCCACTGACAGGGCAGGAGGGTTCCTTTTTTTCCACATCCTCACCAATACCTGTTACTTCTGGTCTTTTTGATACTATCCATTCTGACAGGTCTGAGATGGTATCTCATTGTGGTTTGATCTGCATTTCCCTGATGAGGAGTGATGTTGAGCATCTTCTCATGTCTCTGTTGAGCATCTATATGTCTTCTTTGGAAGATTGCCTGTTCAGGTCCTCTGCCCATTTTTAATTGGATTATTTGAGCATTTTTATGGTGTTATGTATTTTGGATATTGACCCTTTATGTAATATATCATTCTGCAGATACCTTCTCCCATAGAGTAGGTTGCCATGTCATTTTGTTTATGGTTTCCTTTGCTGTGCAAAGGCTTTTTATTTTGGTGTAGTGTTGGTAGTTTCTTTTTGCTTTTGTTTTCCCTTTCCTGAGGAGACATATCAAGAAAAATGTTTCTATGGCCAGTGTCAACGAAATTACTGCCTATGTTTTCTTTTATGGTTTCAGGTCTTAACATTTAGCTGTTTAATCCACTTTGAGTTTATTTTTGTATTGGTGTAAGGGAATGGTCCAGTTTTATTCTTTTGCATGTAGCTGTACAGTTTTCCAAACAGTATTTGTTGAAGAGACTGTGTTTTCCTTATTGTGTATTCTCATGTCCTTTGTCATAGATTAATTGATCATATGAGCTATAAGCATGGGTTTCTTTCTGGGCTCTTTATTCTGTTCAGTTGATCTTTGTGTCTAATTTTGTGCCAGCACTGAAACTTTCTATATTAGATAATATTTGATACTTTTGTCTCTAAAGAATTTTTTCATCTTTATTGCCTTCTCCTAGTAAGGTTATGAAACAATGTAATCCTTAAAGTCTTTTCTTTCCATAAGAACTCATTATTTTCCCCCAGCTAGATAAAATTGTCATACAACATTATATAAGTTTGTGAACAACATGATAATTTGATATACATATATATAAACGTATATATTATGAGATGATTGCCACACAGTAAGGTCAGTTAATATATCTGCTGGTTCACATAGTTAATATTTGGTATATGTGTGGTCAGAACTTTTAAGATTTACTTTCTTAACAACTTTCAGGTATACATTATTGTTAACTTTAGTTACTATCCTTACATTAGGCACCCCAGAATTTATAACTGAAGTTTGTACCCTTTTACCACCTTTACCCATTTCACATTCCCTCTGACCCATGGGAATCACCAGTCTCCACTATATCCCTAAGTACCTTTTTTTTTTTTTGGTAGCTTCCACATGTAAATGAAATCATATCTTATTTGTCATTCTGATTTATTTCACAAAGAATGAGAAATTCCTGAAGTTTCATCCCTATTGTTGTAAGTGGTGGGCTTTCCTTCTTTTTATGGCTGAATAGTATTCCTATGTGTGCACTCACCATGTCATTTTCCTTATCTGTTCATCTGTCACTGGATGCTTAGGTCATTTCCATGCCTTGGCTGTAGTGAATAATGATGCAGTGAATGTGGGGGTGCAGGTAATCTTTTGAAATTTCATTTTTTCAGGTATATACCCGGAAGTATATGATGACTGCAGCATCATATGATAGTTCTGTTTTTAATTTTTGGAGGATCCTCCATGCTGTTTTCCACAGTGACTGCACCAATTTACATTCCCCTTGATTGTGTACTGGGGTTTCCTTTTCTCTACCTCCTTGCCATCCTTTGTTATTTTTTGTTTTTGATGATAGCGCTTCTAACAGGTGTGAAATGAGGTCTCCTGGTGGTATTTATTTGCATTTCCCTAATGATTAGTGATTGGCAGTCCCCCTCCCCACTTTTTTAGAGAGAGAGAGTGCTCTTGGAAGTTGGGGGGGTGGACAGAGGGAGAAGGAGAGAGAGAATCTCAAGCATGTTTCATGCTCAATGCAGTGCTTGATGTCAGGACCCTGAGATTATGACTTGAGTGGAAATCAAGAGTCAGACACTGAACTGACTGAGCCTCGCAGGAGCCCCTTTTCAGCCCCTTTTTATGTACCTTTTGGCCATTTGTATACTTTTTTAAGAAAAATGTCTATTTGAGTGATTTCCCCATTTTAAAAATTAGATTATTTATGTTTTTCCTTTGAATTGTATGAGTTCCTTATATATTTTGGATATGAATGCTTTACCTAATATATGATTTCTCCTATTCCTTATATTGCCTTTTCATTTTGTTGGTCATTTCTTTTGCTGTGTGTAAGTTATTTAGTTTGTTATGGTTTTGCTTGTTTATTTTTGCTTTTGTTGTTTGTGCTTAGGTGTTTTTTTTTTTTTCCCCCTGAGTAAGTTTTGTTTTCTGAAGTCTGACAAAATAGTGCTGTTGGGCACCTCAGTGGGTCAGTGGGTTAAGCCTCTGCCTTCAGCTCAGGTCATGATCTTAGGGTCCTGGGATTGAGGCCCACATGGGGCTCTCTGCTCAGCAGGGAGCCTGCTTCCCCCTCTCTCTCTGCCTGCCTCTCTGCCTACTTGTGATCTCTCTCTCTCTCTGTCAAATGAATAAATAAAATCTTTTTGAAAAATAGTGCTATTAAGTTTAATTCTGAGAGTATCCAATTGTTCATATCCTATTAGTAAAGTAAAGGCATAAATGTTTACTTTTTAGAAAAATCTAATTCTCCTCTGGCTAACCAGAGTCCATAATATTCTAAAGAAATATATTTTACGTATTGATTATACATATCATTATTTACTGTACTGTCTCTTCGTTTTTAAGGCCATTTCCAATTGAACTTTTAGAAGAAGCTCAAATGGACATGGGCCCCTGGGTGACTTTTGTAGGCTGTTTATGAAACAGCAATATGAATTTACCCATGAACATTTATACCAGTGATTATTTTACAAGTCTCACTAAGATTTCAGGAGTTCTAGAGAAAATAATGGTGTAAGTGTTTATTCTGGGAATTTACTGTAATGTAGCCCTCTTGAAGCCTGACAAGATTAGTCAGATCCCTAGAGGGATTGAGGAATTTCTCATTCTTTGTGCCCTTTCTGGCTGTAAATAAGAGTATTGAGCTGATTTTCTGCTTCTAGTTTGCTTCCTCTAATTATTTGTGGGGTAGATGCTGTGTTGGGAATGTTTTTAGGGACTTATGCTTTAGCTTATCTGTATTTACTGGGGGTGAAATATATTAATTTTGGGTATTTTCTCTGAAATTAGGTATGTGGCTGAATTGTTGTCTATTTTCTTGTGCAAGCTCTAATCCATTTCTTGTCCTTTCTCTTTCACAGACTTTCACTCCCCTAGTAGATAAACTTGGTTTGGGTTCTGTGGTTCCAGTTGAATACCTTCTGGATCGAGAGCTGCGTTTCCTGTCAGATGCTAATGGATTACATCTGTTTCAGGTACTTACCAGTTGCTCTAGTCTTATATTATTTTTCTCCTTGCTTTTTTTTTTGTTGATTATAAATATGTTGCCCCTTTTGTTTTAGCATTGAAAGAAGTACTTCTTCCCGATAATTCCCTGTGCCTTTTTTTTTTTTTTTTAAGATTTTATTTATTTATTTGCTAGAGAGAGAGAACGCAGGCAGGGGGAGCCGCTCGCAGGCAGAGGGAGAAGCAGACTCCATGTTGAGCAGGGAACCCAGTGTGGCACTCGATCCCAAGACTCTGGGATCCTGATCTGAACTGAAGGCAGATGCTTAACCGACTGAGCTACCCAGGCGTCCCTCCCTGTACCAAGTTTCTGTGCTACCTTGAAAGTTTATTCACTAGCTGAGGCTTGTTTCCTCTCCTACATACTTCACCCTACCGTGAAACCACTTAAGACCACAATCCTAAGGGTCTTCTCAAAAGGTGGCTTCCCAGAGGTGGCTGCTTGTATAACTTAAGGATACTTAGGTCTTTGGCAGAGAAGCTAGGAGTTTGGGCTGATTCAAAGCAGCATTAAATATTGAAGAGCTTAAGTTTATCTCTATTTACTATTGACTATTTAAGAAAGGGGTAAGTGGGGCGCCTGAGTGGCTCAGTGGGTTGGGCCGCTGCCTTCGGCTCAGGTCATGATCCCAGGTCCTGGGTTCGAGCCCCGCGTTGGGCTTTCTGCTCGGCAGGGAGCCTGCTTCCTTCTCTCTCTCTGCCTGCGTCTCTGCTTACTTGTGATTTCTCTCTGTCAAATAAATAAATAAAATCTTAAAAAAAAAAAAAAGAAAGAAAGGGGTAAGTTAGTAGTTTAAACAAACTAGCATCCAAGTTAGAGTTTCAGAATTTATGGATGGTAATATTTATTTCTTACTTGTAAGATTTACTGTCTGAAGATTAAAAATTAGGAGACTTCTAAGAGTTTTGCTGTCTTATTGAAGCAGCCAAGGACAATTTTTCCTTAACTGTATTGTGTGAAATATTGATGATGATTTCTTTGTTGATATGTATTCCTCCCTCTTCAGGCCTTACTCCTTCTCGCCACCCTTGCTTTATTCATCTTTGCAGTACTAGTGCTTCTATGAGTAGGCACTCAGTAAATGTTGGATAAATACCAAAATATGCCAAAAGATTTACATGGAATAAGTTATTTTGTGGTCAGATATGTATGAGAAACACTGACCAAAACAAAGTTTTTTCTTCCATGCCTTCTGAGAGCCTTTAATATACTATTGTGTATAGAAAGATAGAGTATATCATATTTCCTAAACCTGACTGATACTAGCCTCATTATTTTTTGCAGAACATCTCATGAGACTAGGGTTTTATAGAACATTCTTTGGCCATTCTGGCATAGAGCTCCTCAAGGGTATGATTTTTCTAATCTGGTTAGATACTGTTGCTATTCATTTTAATATTTGGTTGTTTTCTTCTTTTATCTTTGCCAGATGGGAACAGATAGTCAAAACCAGATTCTTTTGGAACATGCTGCACTGAGAGATACAGTTAATGCTTTGATTAGTGACCAGAAGCTGCAAGAGATATTCAGCCGAGGTAAGAACAGGTATTCTTCTGTCCCTGAATCCTGAATCAGGTATGTGATCAGTGTTGAAAGTGATAGAATGGGGAAGACATCATGCAACTCTAAACATTTGTGCTGCTTTTTGTGAGGAAAGTCAAGAGTATCCAATTAGCTAGATTTCTAGAACAGTTTGGAAAAGTAAGATCTCACTCAGACCACTGTTTCCTCGTTAAATTAAGACATAATATTCAGTTTTGTTGTGAGTTTTGTTCTGTTGTTTTTTTTTCCCCCCATTTTTAAAATATTTATGAAGGACAAACTTTGGGAGCACCTGGGTGGCTCAGTTGGTTAAGCATCTGACTCTTGTTCTCAGCTTAGGTCTTGGGTCATGAGCTCAGGTCCTGCACTGGGCTCCTTGCTGGGCATGGAACCTACTTGGAGAAGAAAAAAAGGACAAACCTTGTACTAGACACAGTGTTAAGGTACTAGAGCTAGAGAATCTCTGCTGTTATTGAGCTCATTGTCTGTGAGGTTCTCAAGGAGTAAAGACTAACACAAATAACAGCTTAGACTGCAAGGTATGTTCGTAAAAGAAGGTGTCCACAGACTCATTCACCTTAACAACTTGTTATTTTTTAAAGAATGCAAAGAAAAGAATTATTAGCTTTTTCTAGTTCAAATACAGATTTTGCCCAAGATTCCACATAAAGAATAGACGATCCTTTCCTTCATGTTGCACATCTACTCCTCCTCTTTCTGAGCCTCTTGAAAATCATGATTTTCAGTGAAATAGGGTCTTTGATTCTCTTTTGTCAAACTGTATCTGAATGGGTAAAGGTAGGAATACTGGTTTATCGGGGGAAGGAGAGTATCAGGATAAAGTGATGTTAAATAATCAAGGAAAAATATGGAGGCAGAAAGAATGTGAGGAAAAAATGGACAGCAGAGAGAAGAAAGTTGAGTGGACAGAATGAGAGGTTGAGATGTATGGGAGTATGTATAGAAAAACTGAGGAAACTTAATTATTGTTCTGAGAGATAATAATTTAAAATCAGTAATAATTTAGCTATATAGTCTCAAATATATGAGATACGGAGATAAGAGAAACTGTCCTTCGAGAGAAACTGTTCTTCTTGGAGGGCCAGCTGAAATTGCAGGATAACATTACCTGCTGATAAAGTAATAGCTTTTAAAACTCTGTGTTCCTAGGAAGACAAGTGCTATATTTGTTCAGACTATTATTAGTGCAGAGCCTGGAAACTTCATAAATTGAACTCTCCACCTACTGTTACTGAAAGTCAGCAGAGTGTAAATGATTATTCCTTTGGTTGCTTAACATACTAGTATACTCAAGTTACTGGCCTTCCATTTTTTATATGTCAGATCAGATATGTCTGATAGATTTTCTTACTACCTGTAGTTTTTGTTTCTAAGTTTTCTTTCTCTTCCCTATATTACTTCTACAATGGGAAGATTGAGATAAGGTGAAATCAGATCTGGGAGATGCTAAGAAATCTCCAAAAAACAGAATTTACAAAGATCACTGGGAAAAACTGTGTTTTTGTTTTTAAATTGCTGAGTATGGTAAATCTGAAATTGTTCATTTATTCATCTCCATAAGAGAGAACTGAAAATGCTAAATATTTACACCATATAGTTTTCCTTATGCTTTTAGAAACAATCATGAACTGTAGCTTAGCCAAACATATTCAGTACTGACTGATCTCTCCTTTAGGTCCCTACAGTGTCCAAGGTCACAGGGTCAAAGTATACCAGCCAGAGGGGGAAGAAAGTTGGCTCTATGGTGTTGTAAGCCATCAGGACTCCATCACCCGCCTTATGGAGGTCTCTGTAACAGAGGTGAGGTTTTGATTCATTTCCTCTAAGATTCATCCATCCCCTTACGGAGGGTGGTGTAGAGGAAGGGAGCATTTGACTTTGTATTAGAAGACTCAGATTCTGTCTCTGGCTCTTTCACTTAATGACTGTGTGACCTTGAGAAAGGCTGTTCAACTTTCTTAACCTCATTGTTCTCATCTGTAAATTAAGAGATAATTAGGTACTTCCCCAGCCCCACTTCAGCACTGTTTTGGGAACTGAGATAATATATTGGAAAGTGCTTTGAAATCTATAAAACATTAACATAAAAATGTGAAGTGGTATTGGCCTTATTTTATCATATCCATAAAGGTTAGTTAGTAGTTTAAAATTCAGTCAGTGAGGATTTGCTTCTGTAATACTTACACCACTCCCGTGATGCTAAAAAAAAAAAATGAATTGTTTCTAATGAAGTAAATAAAAATAAAGCACAGCATCTACAGCTACCTGGAGAATTGTCTAGGAAAAACAGCAGATGAGTGTTTTGAGGCAAACAGAAATGTATTTATGCTATCTTTGAATTTGTTTCAGATTTGCCCTTAGCAGTCATGTGTAATATAAGCGTAAATAATTTTACTTAATTCCTTACTGAGTTTTCAAAAATATTACTAATTAATCTTCATTTTAAAATGTGAGAAATAGGGGCACCTGGGTGGCTCAGTGGGTTAAGCCTCTGCCTTCGGCTCAGGTCATGATGTCAGGGTCCTGGGATCGAGCCTCACATTGGGCTCTCTGCTCAGCAGGGAGCCTGCTTCCCTCTCTCTCTGCCTGCCTCTCTGCCTAATTGCGATCTCTCTTTCTGTCAAATAAATAAATAAAATCTTTAAAAAAAAAAAAATAAAATGTGAGAAATAGGGGGACCTGGGTGGCTTAGTCGTTAAGTGTCTGCCTTCGCCTTAGGTCATGATCCCAGGGTCCTGGAATTGAGCCCCGCATCGGGCTCCCTGCTCAGGGGGAAGCCTGCTTCTCCCTCTCCCACTCCCCCTGCTTGTGTTCCCTCATTTGCTATGTCTCTCTGTTAAATAAATAAATAAAATATTTTATAAATAAGTAAAATGTCAGAAATACATATAAATAAAGTAGATATTGGAAAACCCTTTCCCCTAGGCAAATATCACTCCCCTCATTGGTAACTACCATTAATAATTTGGTATATATTCCATATTCTTTGAAATATCTTGCATTTGTGTGTTGTAATATTTGCATGTTACATATTTATGTGATAAGCATATGAGCCATACTTTATTAATAAATGAGAATATACAATACATAAAGTTCTATAATTTACCATTTTTACATAGCTGTAGATTATCAACATCTTTCTATATAAATATACATAGAAATTTGCCTTATTCTTTTAAGATAGATGCATGCTGTTCCATTGAATGTGTATATTATAACTAGTTTAATCTAAAATTGATGGACATTTAAATCATTGCCAGTATTTTCAATAATACAAATAATGTGAATATCCTTGAACATATATTATTATATACTATTTCGCATTACTTATTGGAATAAATTTCTAGGTATATAATCCCTAGATCAAAGGATATGCATATTAAATCTGACCGGGTATCCTTTCAGCTGCTCCCCAGTATTTTTAGTGTTTATTGATAGAGTGGTTCTTTTAATGATTTTTGGTTTTGTAGATTTTTTACTTTCTGATATGTAGAGAATAGGAAGATTTTAGAGATGTAGAATTTGCAATTAATGTCCCTGAAAGAGACACTTGGGCCTTGAACTCAACTCATTCATTAATTTAACAAATATTTGAGTGCTCATAATATTCCTGACCTTGTTTTGGATGTTGTTATTCTGGCAGTGAATGACATAGTAGAGAACCCTGCTTTCATCCTATTAGGGAAGTAGAAACAAAGAGATAATTACATGGATTAGAAGAATACATAATTATGTCTTTGGACAATGCCTAAATCTTTTTTCCCCCCTTTTTCATATTTTCTGCTATCCTTCTCCTACTCTAGAGTGGTGAGATCAAGTCCGTAGATCCCAGACTGATCCATGTGATGCTGATGGATAATTCAACTACTCAGAGCGAGGTATAGTAGTCGACTGAGTCTCTGATCAGACTCATGATCTTTCTTTATCTTGTTATGCAGATTCCTCGTGCGTGTGTTACCCATGGATGTGCTTTGGGCTTCCACTCTGGCCACTGTACATTTCTTGCTCTCTCTAAGTCTTGTCTAGTTAAGGGAATATAGTCTCAAGAAGAAGTGTAGTTGGAGCAAACCCTTTTAATCATGGCTGTGTTGCCTAACCATTTTAGGATTCTACAGCCTAACTATTCGTTCAGGACAGATATATTTGGTATATTTGAAAGATATAGTAGACAGTTAAAGCTGTAATAAGCAGTAGTAATATCTATAACCTGCCTAATAAGAAATGGAGAAGTTGTATCCTTTTTCTTTTCCATTAAGCGGTGGTGAGCTCCAAGAAGTCTGAAATTTTGTATCCCAAGAAGAAATAAATCAAACAGGTGCCTAGCTAGTTCAGTGCTCAGCACACAGTGGATTACTCCATTAAGCGGTGGTGAGCTCCAAGAAGTCTGAAATTTTGTATCCCAAGAAGCAATAAATCAAACAGGTGCCTAGCTAGTTCAGTGCTCAGCACACAGTGGATTACTCCTGTGATTCAGGCCAACTCTTGGTTCATTCAGAATTATCATAACCCAAAAAAAGATATATAATAAACCTGTGCCTAAACCAATCAAGGAATGCCATTTGAATTTCTTTTCATTAAGACATTGACAAGATAGCCATCTAGCCACATGTTCCTCATAGTCTCTTAGCAGTTCTGTAATATTGTCGTCTTGGCCACTCCTGCTAAGTGTCTGGTTCTCATCTTTATCCAGTAATTCTTGACTTGATAAAACAGAATCAAGTTAGGAAAAGAAGAATCATGGTTAAATTTAATAGCTCTTTAGTATGTATTATATTGCTACAACTAGGATATGTCTCTTGACTGTTTACATGACTAAAAATATCTTTTACTTTAATGGGTGTTGGGCCCATTTTTATTCCCTTTCTTATTTCTTTCATTCATTAAGTACCTTTTATATGCCACGCACTGTTCCACTGGTCCTATATATCTAGAGAGTACTGGTCTCCATATCTTATGCTATCTACTCACATGTGATTAGCTCACCGGAAGTAGGATATACATACAAGTTAGTGCTCAGGGAGGTTGCAGTGAGCCGAGATTAGCAACTTGGCTGGATGGATAAGAGGTGAGATCTGTGGTTTTCAAGAGTAGATTGCCAAAAGTATGGGGGAAACAGAAGTAAATCTTGAGCTTGGTTAAGAACTATAGAAGAAAATTAAGGGAGAAAAGATGGAAATGAAGGCAGCAGGGGAAAAAAAAAGAATAGAAAAACTAGAACTGGCAAGAAATAGAAAATTTGAGGAGGTTGCAGCTGTCAAAGCTATAATGCTACAACAAAAATACAGATCTGTACAAAGAAGCTATAAATATTCAAGTACACCAAGATTAGTTTAATGAAGTTGGTGAACATTAATGGCTAAGTAACTGTGTCTAACTAGCTTATTGCCACTCCAACACATGTTACCGGAGTAAAACTATCCGAAAGTTACCTGAATGAAGCTTAAAAAAAAAAAAAGCATTCCTTCATAGTAGGATACTATTCTAATAATGTTCTAGATAAAAGTCCTTGCAGCACAAAGATTGCTTGAGTGTTCTAAGCCACCTTCCCCTTGTTCTTGCCAGGGGAGGAGTTTATTTAGAGATAGGAATTGTGTCTTCTAATCTTCTATTTTTCAAGATTGCTTGGCCTCTCAATTAAGGCACAAGTTAGATTTCATAAGACAGGCTGAAATTATTGGAAGAGCTAAGGGGTTTGGCTGTTTGGTCTGTGGTAGCCCGCCTATTTTGCTTTCCTTTGTCTAATACTTTTGAAATAAGTTCTGGAGATTGTTTGTATATTTATGGTGCCCACAAGAGAAATCCAAACCTGCCTATGTTGGACACACTTTTCCTTTGGTCACAGACACAAATGTTGGTCTTCCTATTTTTAAGTTGTCACCAGTTTTTTTAGTGACTTCTGGATAGAGGAGATTTTATATTTCAGTACTTGAAATGCCAGTTTCAGTCAAACAAGGATAAAAATACAAAATAAAGCAGATTTCTTTTTACATCAAGGGGCAAATGAGCTCCCATCCTAGCACTAATGGTCTTCTTTTGTAAACTAAATTCCACAAATCTTTAAACCCTCAAAAAAAGTCCATTTGAGGAAGACTTTTATTTAAGGGAAAGTTTGCCAAGTGAGTTAATCTCTCCTAACCATTATCTTGAATACATGTGTAAATTGAGTCATAGGAAGATTGGAGCTTTCTGACTAAGGGGATATCTTAGAGCTGGCGTTGGAACGGGGCAATCTGCCTGCTTTGATTGTCTGCTTCTAGAGATGGGAAAGAGCTAATGGTTTATGGTTTTCACAGGATGGAAGGTTCCTTATAATAAATCTTTTTTGAATTTTGTTTTGTAGGGGGGTACGTTAAAAGCAGTAAAATCTTCCAAAGGAAAGAAGAAGAGAGAGAGCATAGAGGGGAAAGATGGCCGGAGGAGAAAAAGTGCTTCGGACTCTGGGTGTGACCCTGCATCAAAGAAATTAAAAGGAGACAGGGGTGAAGTAGACAGTAATGGGAGCGATGGAGGTGAGGCGAGCCGAGGGCCCTGGAAAGGAGGGAATGCCAGTGGAGAGCCAGGGCTGGATCAGAGAGCCAAGCAGCCACCGACTACATTTGTCCCCCAGATTAACCGCAACATTCGCTTTGCCACTTACACCAAAGAAAACGGCAGGACTCTGGTGGTACAGGATGAGCCTGTAGGTGGGGACACACCTGTACCTTTCACTCCATATTCTCCAGCCACAGGTCAAACACCTTTGGCCCCAGAGGTGGGTGGAGCCGAAAACAAAGAGGCAGGAAAAACATTGGAACAAGTTGGCCAGGGCATTGTGGCTTCAGCAGCTGTGGTCACTACCGCCAGCTCCACCCCAACCACGGTGAGGATCTCAGACACTGGCCTTGCAGCAGGGACTGGGCCGGACAAACAGAAAGGCGGCCGGTTACAGGCCCCAGGAGAGGTGAGTTGTTTCAGGGGCAGATTTGCAAGATTTGGGTTCATTTTCTTACCCTACTTTAATGTTAACACATTAAATAGCATCTAAAATGCCCCAGGGAAGGAGCATTTCTGAGGTTTGCTTAAATTGTACTCTGAATAGTCCTTTACTGCTCGTTGGGCAAATGTGTATATTTTAATAACTTTATTAGCTCTTAAAAGTCACCCGAACAATTGCACTAATCAAAAACTGATTATAAAACCCAATTTAATGAGATGCTCAAATAGATCTGGTGGGGAATCTTTTTAATTCAATTATCTATTTAGTTCACATAGTTGTTGAGCCTCTACCAGGCCTATGAGAGGCAAGGTTAATGAATTATAGTGTTGGTAACAGTGAACACTATAATTAAGGCTATGTGAAAGTGACTATTACCATCCCCTGTTTTTAGTTCATCATTTTCTGTGATATTTTCCTTTGAGACTAGGCTTCTTTCCATGAGTTGATATGGCCATAAAAATTTCTTTTTTCTTTCTAACTTACTCTTTTTAATCCTTACCTGGAAAATTTGATGGAATTAATCACAGTAGTATCCAACTTACTATGTTCTTTTTCCGGTATACATGTTCCTTCCTGAAATGGAACTTCTGTTAAATACAAGTTAGCATCAAGTTGGCTACCCAATCAAATTTGAAACACTATCAAAATCATTTCTTACATGATGCTAGTCATTTTTTTTTTTTTTTTTTGAGACTGGCTGTTTCCTCAAGTTGGAATATGAAATACAAAGACAAAATACTAAATGATTTTTTAAATTACGTATAGGAAACTACTGTGTGCTAAGTACTGTATATTATAAACAAAGAATTGAAATCCCTGTTTGAAGGAGCTCACATCTTAAGATGGAATCATTTTAGGTATAACAGTGCCCAGTAAAACATGGCATATATTTCACCTGACTCCTTCCTCTCCTGAAAGATGCAGTTTGTGAATCCTTAGTGTTCAGGCATGGGGAGGGAGGTGAAAGGTCCAGGCAGAAGAGGAGAAGGCCTATAAAATGGAAATTTCACACTATTCATGGTTTGTCCTCTATTGACCAGCATTCCCAAGATAACTAGGTGAGGATCTTATGTGGATTTCCACTGTGTGTAAGTCATCATATTGCTCAAATTAATTAAACTCCAGTTCATGTCAAAGGCAATATAGATGTAAAGGGGGATTACAAAGTAGACCACATTTTATATGCTGCAGGAGGAGACACACTGAATGCTGTTATTCTTGGGGTAGCAAAGCTGAATAGAGGAAATTTAGAGTCAAAGGGCATTTTCCAAACAGGTTGGAGAAGTTTCTGTGACTGTATCAGTGATTTTGGTAATGTGTCAGCCTAAGTATTGTCCTGGGATCTGATTTAAAAGTACAGAAATGGAAATTTCCACTGTGAAGTCAAATCTAAAATAGGGACACAGCCCCCAGGAAACTTCTTGCCCTAAAAATTAAGTTGAAATCACTTTGTCATAACTTTCTTACAAGAAAAGGATTTAAAATTTAATCATTTGAGGGAAAGTGAAAGGCCATCCAAATTATTTTTCATTCATGTGTATTTATTTATTTATTTATTTATTTATTTATTTGACAGAGATCACAAGTAGGCAGAGAGGCAGGCAGAGAGAAAGAGGGGGGAAGCAGGCTCCCTGCTGAGCAGAGAGCCAGATGCGGGGCTCGATCCCGGCACCCTGGGATCAGGACCTGAGCCAAAGGCAGAGGCTTTAACCCACTGAGCCACCCAGGTGCCCCAGTGCATTTTTTTTTTAAGATTTTATTTATTTGAGAGAGGAAGAGTGAACGAGAGAGCACAAGTAGGGGGATTAGCAAAGGGAGAGAGAGAAACAGGGTCTCCCCACTGAGCAGGGAGGCCAAAGTAGGACTCGATCCCAGGACCCTGGAATCATGACCTGAGCCAAAGGCAGATGCCTAACTGACTGAGCCACCCTGGTGCCCCAACACTTTAGTGCTTTTAAAAGTTTTTTTTTTTTTAATGTCATGCAGCACTTCTTTTTAATTTTTATTTTTTAGATTAATTTATTTCAGAGAAAGAGTACCTGAGTGTGGGGAGGGGCAGAGGGGAAGCAGATTCTTTGCTGAGTACGGAGCCCAGTGTGAGGTTTGATCCCAGGACCCTGGGATCATGACCTGAGCCGAAGGCAGAGGCCTCAACCCACTGAGCCACCCAGGCGCTCCCTGTATACTTATTTTTAAAGAGTAATTTTAGTAGTGAAACCTGAGCTACCCATGCTGGATTGTTGGAGTCATGCAGGTGTCAAGGCTCCTGGCCAAATTCTGCTAATGAAATTACAGCCAGGGTGGGTGGCTCAGTCGGTTAAGTGTCTGCCTTTGGCTCAGGTCATGATTCTGGGGTCCTGGAATCAGGGCCTGCATCCTGCTCCCTGCTTACCCAAGAGTCTGCTTCTCCCTCCCCCTCTGCCCTCCCCACACTTGTGCGCTCTCTCTTTCTCACTTTCTCTCTATGAGGTAAATAAATAAAAGTCTAAAAAAAAGAAAAAGAGAAAGAAACAAAAGCCGGTCATTAGGGGTGTGTCTTTCTATTCTTTTTTATTGGGAGGACATGTAAGTCAGTAGTTGTTGATTGGTGGGAAGGAAAGGAAAAAGAATAATGGGGCGCCTGTCTGGCTCAGTCAGTAGAGCGAGTCTTGATCTCCGAGCCACACGTTGGGTATCAAGTTTACCTTTAAATAAATCAACAAACAAACTTCAGGTTTTTAACTCAGAAATGCCATGAAGCAGACTCTGTAGCAGCTGTCAACTGGAGGCAAGCCACAGGTAGCCTGCATGGTTCTAATGTGTCTGTGCCACCCTCAAAGTCCTAACCTAGACTCTCTTGCATATTTAAAGAATACCTTAAGTAAACAACACCCCCCTTTTGGACAATAGCCATTTCCTTTATCTGGAATAATTTTTTGAATTGTGGAAAAGTAACCATTAAATTTACCATTTTAGGGGTGCCTGGGTGGCTCAGTGGGTTAAGTCTCTGTGTTCAGCTCGGGTCATGATCTCAGGGTCCTGGGATGGAGCCCCGCATCAGGCTCTCTGCTCAGCGGGGAGCCTGCTTCCTCCTCTCTCTCTGCCTGCCTCTCTGCCTACTTGTGATCTCTCTCTCTGTCAAATAAATAAATAAAATCTTTTAAAAAAGTTACCATTTTAACTATTTAAAGTGTTATAATACGTGGTATTTAGTACATCTACAGTGTTGTGCAACCGATAGTACTTTCTAGTTCCAAAAATTTTCATCATCCCAGAAGCAAGCCTGATACCCGTTAAGCAGTCCCGGAATAATTTTTGTTACCAATATTTTAAAATGAATGTCTAGAGATAGCATTCTCTCCTACCTGAAAGTTGATTTTAAGTGTTGAGACCTGGGTGTGTATATGAAAGGGATCCTGCCCTTCTTTACACACACACCTTTTATTCACATGCAGAAGTTAAGATTTTCAAGGTGAAAAAAAGGAGTGTTTTTTCATTCTTCAGTTTGTTAGGCTGAGTACTTAATGTTTGGTGGGTGTATGAGTATCTGTAGTTCTTCTGTTTGGAGGCTTGTTAGATCCTAATGATAACAAAAGGGTTCAGTGATGAGTGTGCTTTTTTTCTTCCTTTTTTTTTTTTTTAAGTTTTTAATGTAGGCTTCATGCCCGGCATGGAGCCCAGTACAGGGCTTGAACTCACAACCCTGAGATCAAGACCTGAGCCAAGATCAAGAGTGGGATGGCTAACCGACTGAGCCACAGAGGCTCCCCATGAGTGTGCTTTCTATAACTTAATGTCTTCAGGTGTAACTTTAATTGAAACAGATATTCAAATTTTAGGTTGATTTGGACTCATAAATAAATGGCCAGATTCTAAAACAATCCATCTTGGGGAGTTTCAGACTAATAAAGAGAATTTTTTCCTTAATGTGCAGTGGGCTTGTCATGGGATGGAAGTCACTTTTGTAAGATGGGCAGGTAGTTTAAATGAATCAAAACTTTTAAATAAATCAAAACTTTGACAATAGCTGAGGTCATTGAAGTGGATTAATATTACAGGGCCCCTAAATTCATTTCATAGTAAAAGCTCTGTCTGTCTGTTCAGGAACCCTTTTCTCCTGCTCCTGGTAGAGTTTTCATTGCCAGATAGAAACTAAGAAGCCTACACAGCCTCCTGGTGCTATGACAGCCAGTTGGCTAACAACCAAGGGAGTGGTAGGATGAACATCCTGCTATCTCTAAGAGCTCTCTTGTGTTAAAGATGCCCTTTATGTGGTCTGTGGCAGGTTTCCTCCTTAATGCTGGTGAGATGTAGTTTTAAGAGCAGTTTTCGTGGAATTGTAGGAGAGAAAAGTTGATTGGACCCACAAGAAACATTTGCCTAAGTCCAGAAAAGAGGTAACAGGGTTGTCAAGAGAAAGCAGCATCACTAACTCTGGCTATCTTCTTTTCAGAATTCAAGAAATACCGTTCTGGCCTCTTCTGGATTTGGAGCATCTCTCCCAAGTTCATCACAACCTTTGACTTTTGGAAGTGGAAGGAGCCAGTCCAATGGGGTTCTAGCCACAGAAAACAAACCGTTGGGCTTCTCTTTTGGCTGTAGCTCTGCACCAGAGTCTCAGAAAGACTCTGATCTCTCCAAAAACTTGTTTTTTCAGTGCATGTCCCAAACCTTACCCACCAGTAACTACTTCACTACCGTTTCAGAGAGTTTGGCTGATGATTCCTCCAGTCGAGACTCATTCAAACAAAGCCTTGAGAGCCTGTGTAAAGGCAGATCCACTCTTGGAGCAGACACTAAATCAGGCTCTAAGGCTGGCAGCTCTGTGGATCGGAAGATGCCTGCAGAATCCATGCCTACCCTCACGCCAGCCTTCCCACGGAGCCTCCTAAATCCCCGCACCCCAGAGAGTCATGAAAATCTATTTTTACAGCCCCCTAAACTATCCCGAGAAGAGCCCTCTAACCCTTTCCTTGCATTTGTGGAGAAAGTTGAACATAGCCCTTTCAGCAGCTTTGCATCTCAGGCATCAGGTAGCTCTTCCTCTGCTACCACGGTCACCTCTAAAGCCGCAGCCAGCTGGCCCGAGGCTCACTCCTCTGCAGATTCAGCATCCTTAGCAAAGAAGAAAACCCTCTTCATCACAACTGACTCCTCTAAACTGGTGTCCGGTGTTCTGGGCTCAGCTCTTACCACCGGAGGTCCAAGCCTCTCTGCCATGGGGAATGGCCGCTCTAGCTCGCCCACCAGCAGCCTCACCCAGCCCATTGAGATGCCTACTCTCTCCTCCAGCCCCACAGAGGAGAGGCCAACTGTGGGGCCTGGGCAGCAGGACAATCCCCTCCTCAAAACCTTTAGTAACGTCTTTGGCAGGCACTCAGGCAGCTTTCTGTCCTCCCCAGCAGATTTTTCACAGGAGAACAAAGCTCCTTTTGAAGCTGTGAAAAGGTTCTCACTGGATGAGCGAAGCTTGGCTTGCAGACAGGACTCGGACTCCAGTACCAACAGTGACCTGTCAGATTTGAGCGATTCTGAGGAGCAGCTGCAGGCCAAGACGGGCATGAAGGGGATTCCAGAGCACCTAATGGGGAAGTTGGGCCCCAATGGGGAGCGAAGTGCTGAGCTATTGCTGGGCAAAGGCAAAGGGAAGCAGGCCCCAAAGGGCCGACCGCGGACCGCCCCCCTGAAAGGTGATCTTGCTGGGGTTATCCATTGCCTTGGCTCTGGCACTGGCCTCGAATGCCCGCCTATTGTGCTCCTGGGCAGCAGAAGCCCTTCCTTTGATGGGAAGTTCTATAATCACGTGGAATAAAATAGCCAGAAGGGCCCAGTAGAGGCCCCTCATGCAACCTTATGGTTCAGGGCAGGATTGCATCTAACCCAGCAGCGTTACTAAAGAGGGATACCTACCTGTGTAATGATAATCCCACAGAAGAGGACCCTTGAGACTCCTTTTGCTCAGGAGCTCTTTCCTGGTGTTTTTTTCATCTCTTTCTTCTCTTTGGCCCATCCTCTTTAATTTAGAGGAGATACTGAGTACAGCCTTTCATAGAATTACTTTAGCAAAAAGAATCACCCCTCAAATTTGCTTCTCTCTGTTACACATATAAGGTTTTAACACCTCTTCCAAAAGCCATTAACTCCGATGCTGTGAGGTTATGGTCCAGAATTACGTACGGGCAAGTATCTAAGAAAGTCGAATGGTGAAAAGTAACTGTTATCATTAGGAATTGGTATCCTAATGGGGGTACAAGAGTTGTTCGTAGAATAGTTGTATCCCTAGAGGCTAAAGGCAAGTGGCTATTTTCTGCTTTCTTGGGTTTTTCTCACCCGTGCCAGGGCTATTTCCTCTCAATGGGACACTGCTCACAAATTCTCTCCATGGTCCTTAGCTTCCAGTTAAGCCTCTTTGCTCCCTCCCTTTCTGTCAAGGATGGGTCTGGTAGGCACAAGCCAAGCCACGGCAAGGAAGAATGAGCCAGGTCAGGACAGAATGCAGCACCAGGAGGATCATGTTATTGGGTCTCATTAATACCAATCATGACCAGCTGTTTCTCCCCCTTCCCTTTCCACAGTTGGCCAATCAGTGCTGAAAGATGTGAGCAAGGTGAAGAAGCTGAAACAGTCTGGAGAGCCCTTCCTGCAGGATGGGTCCTGCATCAATGTAGCCCCTCACCTGCACAAGTGTCGGGAGTGCCGCCTGGAGCGGTATCGGAAGTTTAAAGAACAGGAGCAAGATGATTCCACTGTGGCCTGCCGCTTCTTTCACTTCCGGAGGTACCCAAACCGGTCTCTGTCTCCTTCCCCGTTTCCATTTCCCACTCTTTCTCTGAATCTCACATCTTTTCTTTGTTTTCCTTAACCCCTTGGCTCTGGGGTCTTTGCTCTGCCATAGGAGCCACTCAGGTGCTTGGATTGTGAAGTGACTGGTGGCTTTGTCCCAAGGGAATTGAAGCTGACCAGTCTGAACAGTTTAAGAGAAACCCCAGCAACTGTCCCAAGGCTGGAATATGCTTGTGGAGCTAGGGTGGGGAAAAGATAGAGTGGGGGAAAAGATAGATTTGAGGTCATAGAGTTAACAATGGGTCCATATTTTCTTTTTCTTTTTTTAAAGAAAAAGGCCCCTGAGCTTTGTTACATTATTCTTAACTTCGGTTCCATTTGAAACCAGTGGTATAAGCAGAAGGATGCGTGTTGTGGTGTATATGTGCCTGACCACTTACTCCTTTTTGGTACTGAAGTAACTTGAGGGGCGCCTGGGTGGCTCAGTGGGTTAAGCCTCTGCCTTTCGATCTGGTCATGAATCGGGGTCATGGGATCGAGCCCCGCATCGGCTCTCTGCACAGCAGAGTCTCTCTTCCTACTTGTGATTCCTCTGTCAAATAAATAAAATCTTAAAAAAATAAATAAATAAAGTAACTTGACTCTCTGAGAGAGGAAGAAGGAAAATTAGGAGATAATGGGAATTGTCCTTGAAATAGAGATAACTGACAAATCCTGGGACTGTCCCCTGCTCTTAAACCGAACAAATGCTTTTAGTCACTTTTCTTCTGCTTGATAAACTTAGAAATTCTTCTTCTAATTTCTTCTGAAGATTTTATTTATTTATTTGACAGAGAGACAGCGAGAGAGGGAACACAAGCAGGGGGCGTGGGGGTGGGAGAAGCAGACTCCTCGCTGAGCAGGGAGCCCCACGCAGGCCTCCATCCCAGGACCCTGGGATGATGACCTAAGCCAAAGGCAGAAGAATTTCATCTAAATGACCTTTCAGGAATTCTTCATTTGTAAAATAAATCCAAATGATTTATCCACATAGTATGGATTCACTCAGCAAATATTTACTGAGCACTTAACTATGTGTCAGACATTGTTGTGGGCACTGAGGGTTAAACAGCATATAAAACCATAAAGATCCAGACCTTAGGAGTTTGCTGAGGAGGCAGATTAAATATTTATTTAATAATAATAATAATTAATAATCAATTAATAATTAATTAATTAATTGTAAGGCATGTTAGCTGATAGTAACTATGAGAAAAATAAAGACAGAAGAGGATTGAAGTAAGGGGAGGTTAAGAGAAACTGTAGTTTAAATAGGATGATTTTAGAAACTGAGATTTGAGTAAAGACCTTGAGGAGGCGAAGGAGTAGTTTGCACATTTTCCTGGGAGACAAGTATTCCAGGTAGAAGGCGCAAGAGCAACTGTCCCAAGGCTGGAATATGCTTGTGGAGCTAGAGTGGCGAAAAGATAAGAGTGGGGGAAGGATAGATTTGAGGTCATAGAGTTAACAATGGGTCCATATTTTCTTTTTTTTTTTTTTTTAAGATTTTATTTATTTATTTGACAGAGAGAGTGACAGCAAGAGACGGAACACAAGGAAGGGCGTGGGGGAGGGAGAAGCAGGCTTCCTGCTGAGCAGGGAGCCTGATCAGGGACTTGACCTGAGCTGAAGGCAGACAGTTAACAACTGAGTGACCCAGGCGCCCCATCTGCCCATATTTTAAAAGAATACTCTAGGGACGCCTGGGTGGCTCAGTTGGTTAAGCAGCTGCCTTAGGCTCAGGTCATGATCCCAGCATCCTGGGATCGAGTCCGGCATCCGGCTCCTTGCTCATCGGGGAGCCTGCTTCTCCCTCTGCCTCTGCCTGCCATTCTGTCTGCCTGTGCTTGCTCTCTCTCCCTCTCTCTCTCTGACAAATAATTAAAATAAAATCTTAAAAAATAAAAAATAAAAAATAAATAAAAGAATACTCTAAGGGCCTTGGCTTTTATGTTGAAAGAGAAGTCACTGAAGGTTTTGAGCTGATGAGTGACACTGGGGAATGTTTTAAAGGATCACTGTAATTGCCTTCTTGAGAATAGATTATATTGAGGCAGAGGCAGAAACATGGAGAAGTAAGGAGGTTGTTGGAATTATCTAGGTGAGAAGTGATGGCCTGCTGATGGAAGTGGTGAGTCTGGTTGGATTAAGGATATATCTTGAGTGGGTCCCTAGGTGACTCAGTCGGTTCTTCCTCTCCCTCTGCCTGCTGCTCCCCCCTGCTTTTGCTCTCTCTGTTTGTAAAATAAATAAATAAAATCCCCCCCCAAAAAAATATATTTTATATATATATATTTTTTAAGATTTATTTATTTGACACAGAGACAGAGAGAGATCACAAGTAGGCATAGAAATAGGCAGAGAGAGAGGGGGAAGCAGGCTCCCTGCTGAGCAGAGAGCCCGATGCAGGGCTCGATCCCAGGACTCTGAGACCACGACCTGAGCCGAAGGCAGAGGCTTAACCCACTGAGCCACCCAGGCGCCCCAAAAGAATATATTTTAATTTTTTTTTTAATTTTTTTTTTAAAGATTTTATTTATTTATTTGAGAGAGAGACAGTGAGAGAGAGCATGAGCAAGGAGAAGGTCAGAGGGAGAAGCAGACTCCCCATGGAGCTTCCATTAAGCGGTGGTGAGCTCCAAGAAGTCTGAAATTTTGTATCCCAAGAAGAAATAAATCAAACAGGTGCCTAGCTAGTTCAGTGCTCAGCACACAGTGGATTACTCCATTAAGCGGTGGTGAGCTCCAAGAAGTCTGAAATTTTGTATCCCAAGAAGCAATAAATCAAACAGGTGCCTAGCTAGTTCAGTGCTCAGCACACAGTGGATTACTCCTGTGATTCAGGCCAACTCTTGGTTCATTCAGAATTATCATAACCCAAAAAAAGATATATAATAAACCTGTGCCTAAACCAATCAAGGAATGCCATTTGAATTTCTTTT